TTTCCAAGGTTATGATCCTATTTAGCATACATGGGGAACAATTGTAACTTGAATAAAAGACAGAACTACATACCTTGTTGTTGTTTTTGATCCTTGAAACCTTGTGAGCCTAGCACCCCAAGTGTGATGCCTCAAATGCTTCACACAACACCAAATGCTGTGGAGTAAACATGGAAAGAAAGTATAACACTCTAAAAATCGGCTCTAGCCCTCTTGTTTCTTAGTGTAACCGATTTTGGGAGAAACACATTACTTATATAGTGTGTTGACACATCTAGGGTTACACCATGTAAACCCTAATGTGTCGTGACTCTTCATTTCCATGACCCATGGGTTTGTAACTCCCATGTAGCATCCAATGGGTTTAAGCCAACTTGATTACCCATGGAACGTCTTAGCCCACCATACAAGATATGGATGATTTAAATAATCAACCCATATGTTTAATTAGTTATCTTAATTAATTCATGAGAAAACTAATTAAATAATATTATTAATATATTAGAACTTATAATATATTAATGACCACAAGTGTTATTTCTCTCATTTAGTCTATTCAATTGCATGGTGCCATGCAACCCAAATGGACCATGCCGGGTCGGGTCAAGTATTTACCAGAAATAGTTATGGACTTAGACACCTTATCCAACAGAAAGAAGATAGTAAGGGTAAACCCACCCGGAAAAGAGTCATTTATGGTGTACGGGGATAAACGCAGAGTGAATTCGGGAATCATATCCTTGATGAAAGCCAGTAAATGTTTGTCCAAGGGATGTTCATCATACTTGGCATTTGTTATCGATGCTAAGAAGGAAAAGAAAGAGGTACACAATATACCTGTTGTGTGTGATTTTCCGGAAGTCTTTCCCGAAGATCTTGCCGGGTTACCTCCTGATAGACTAGTAGAGTTTCATTCGACCTAGTTCATCACCCTGGGGAGCTGCGGTGTTATTCGTGAAAAAGAAGGACGGAAGCATGAGAATGTGTATAGACTACCGAGAGATGAATAAGGCAACGATGAAGAACAAGTATCCATTGTCGAGGATTGATGACCTATTCGATCAGCTGCAAGGTTCAAGCTACTTTTCAAAGATCGATCTTAGGTCAGGATATCATCATTGAAGGTAAGAGAGCAGGATATCGAAAAGACTGCATATAGAATGAGATATGGACACTACGAGTTCTTAGTTATGTCATTTGGACTGACCAATGCTCCAACAGCATTTATGGATTTGATAAATAGGGTTTGTAAACCATTCCTCTATAAATCTGTAATAGTCTTCATAAATGACATTCTAATATACTCAAAGAGTCAGCAGGAGCATGGAAAGCACCTGAGAGAAGTATTAGAAGTTTTGAAGAAGGAGAAGATGTCTGCACTACAAGAAAAAGGTGCTTCTGTGACTAAAATATCAAAGACTGATTAATCAGTCTTGAATACAATGTATCTAGGACTGATAAATTAGTCTTAGATACTATCTAGGACTGATTTTAATTTGCGGATTATTAGAGTCTGGCCAAAATTATCCGAGACTAAAATTCTGTCCCTATTATGTTTGCATCGATTTAGGTTTGGTGGGAAACACATTAGGGACTGAATTTCTGTCTCGAATAGTTTAGCGCAAACTTTGACTTTGGAGGGGAAGTTATAGGGGACTGGTTTTCAGTCACTGATAGACTTGTTTCAGTCTTGATTATGTAAGGAACTTATTAGGGACTGAAGTTCAGTCATTGATACAATTGCACCAATTTATCCTACAGACGAGAAACATTTTAAAGACTGAATTTCAGTCTCTAATAGACATGCACTATTTGACATTCGAATGAACACATATAATTGGCTAGATATTTGTATTTAAGAATGATTATTTAGTTATAGATGACATATATCAGAGACTGATGAATCAGTCACGAATACTAATTCGAAGGAAACTTATTAGGGACTGAAATTCCGTCTTGGATAAACTAAACACATTTGGCTTCAAAGAGAAATCATTATGGACTGAATTTTAGTCTTTGAGACACCCATGCCCTCCACTCCACATCATCCCATCTATTCCATTCACTTCCAATAACCACCACTTAGTCAACACATATAACCACCATCTTTAAGCTACAACTATGGAGAATTACTTTGTGTTTTAGTTTGTGCTACTCATGTGATCATTTTCAAGAAGGGTGTGATGGGAAGATGAGCGGTTTGGTCATTGTCTTATTTATTAACAATATATAAATAATAAAGAATCAATGAGGACATTTGATATATGGTATGAACCGAGACTTTAATAAAAACAAACAATGAGGATGATTCAAGCTAGAATAGAAAATGTTGGAAACTAAACGTGTAAATTAATACAAACCATATAGACTATTCATGTGATTTACTTTTAAAAAAGAAGGTTTTGAAAATCGTATTGTAGACCGAACCAGCCGTCTTACATGTTCGATGGTCCAACTTGTCCAACCGATTGGACCGGTCTCAAAAGCCGGGAAAACCCGATGATGTCATAATTACATTATTATTAATTTAAATTATATAGAAAATTACATAAAAAAAATATTTTTTAAGTTTCTGTTTTTTACCGATTCTTACAGGTTTAACCGATTCTTACCATTTTTTAGCGGTTCACATGACGAGCAATTTTTTGGCTTCTAAGAACTGGGTTCATGACCGTTCCCGATTGAACCGGCCGGTCCCATCGGATTTTAAAAACATGGTAAAAAACAAAAATTTATAGCAATTTGTATAAAACGGAAATAAAAAACATTGAAATTCAATTAAAAAATATAAAAACATTTAATTCTTTGGAAAAGTACGAGTCCAAAATTATTAAAAAATCTAACAAATAAAGTATGCATATTGCAAATAAGGAGGAACACTCCTGTGGTTTGGATGGGATACGGGATCAACAAGTCTTTTCCGGAATTGCCGAGAGCATGGATATAGATTAATGGTACGGTTATTCAATCACATTCGGCCGCACAAAACCCTATCAATACCTTACCAAAATTGAAGGAAGACTAGCGATTGCAAGGAGTCAAGGGCTTTGTGAAGTATTCGTCAATTCAAGGTAACATTAACTGTTTGTAGCTTTAATTTAATCGACTTTGATTTGGAATATGGTTATGCTTTGAATAACATATTGAAAGTCAATTCCAAAAAGTGCGATATGAATTGTCAACAAATACATGTCATATAATATGAATTGATATGATTTGGAATATGATTATGCCTTGAAGATGATACTCTTTTCTGCTAGAAATCTTTTCCCATTTAGATTTGATTAATTGTCAACAAATACAGGTCGTCTAATATGAAGATTATTAAATAAATTACATAAAGCATTAGCAACTACAGGACTTCTTTTCAATATAAAAGTATTCAACTGTAAAATCAATTCCAAACCCATTACATAATCAATAATAATAGTTAACTTTGTTTGATGAACACAATATCTTGGACAGGTTTCACCCAGGGGTATTTTGGGTAAAACCATCATATTTTTAATTTTTGTGTTAGATTTGGATTTGTTTTGGTTTAGTATGAATATGATATGTATCTATGACGTTTTAATTAAGTTTTATTCACGTTTTTCTAAACAAATCTTAGAGGACAAGCAAAATTTCCTAGAAATTTTTTCCCCAGTTTTGTTCATCCCTTTGTATCATGTTTTTCTATCCATATCCTGCTGTGATTTTTATGTTTGTTTATTTTGTGTGATAATCTTTGTGAATTAAGTGAATTAGTTCTCAGATAAGTAATCTATCATCTATTAAAATCTCATTTTAAAGGAATCAAACAAATTGAAAACATGGCTTTTTATCAACAATCTTGTCCATAATGTAAAGGCTTTTTATCAATCACAATATCAACACTGTACATTCGATTTTCCCATTCTGTTAAACTAAATGTATGGACTTCCTTATGTATAAAAATTATGACTAAGTTGGTATCAATTTTTTCAATTATGAAACCTTTTTTCTATTCTAGATAAAAATTTATGTATAAAAATAAAACAATGGTATAAAATATAAATTGTTTATGAATATATATATATATATATATATATATATATATATATATATATATATATATATATATATATACTATTTAAATTAAGGGGCTATAAATGAAATATATACTTATATAACATATAAGTATCATGAAGTTGATTTTGCAAATATTTTGGAACATATAATAATATAATATATAAATGAAAATTTTATGTTATTTAACGATCCGTAAGTAAATAACTTATATATTATATTAAAGACAAAAACAATTTAAAAAATAAACTTCAAATTAATATAATATAAATATGACATCTTATAAAACTTAAAAGATTAAAAAATGAAATATTAAAGGTTGACAGCTACTTTTGAAACAACACCATTTTGACAGCTACTTTTGAAAACAACACCACGTATACAAAATCTCCCTACGTATGCCACCATGCATACAAATTATCTTCTTCTAAATAAGCATTGCTACTGGAAGATGGTTGAATACAGGGGCGAATTTAGTGCTTGAAGAGTGGGGGCAGATGTCCCCAGTGACTTTTGAATGACCATATATTTGATATTATAAATTGGGTTTACTTATTATTTTCTATGATATATGCCCCCAATGGTCAGATGTAAGAAGTAAAAACTAACCTAAATTAATTCTCTAGGTTTAAGTTGTATGGTGTTCAGTCATCTAGTTACCTATTTATTCAACGCCACATGATTTATGCAAAGGGACCACATAACACAATACACAAACTCCATCACTCTCTGGGACTTCATGTATACATTACAAGACGTAATTAACTCATAATAATAAGTTATATCTCTAGTTATTGAAGAAATTTACATCAAATAAACAAAGGGTAGAATAGTCTTTTTTGCATTCCACAAACCAAAATGTAAATAGATTTTATCTATTTAACATTAATGGTAGTTTTTTATGTTTCTACTTTTTGGTTCCTTTTAGTTCAACTACTTCATACTAAGATAAGATGGACAAGAGTTGGACTAAAATCACGAATAAGGTCGATCCAAAGTTCATGAAGGGGGCAATTGCTTTTGCAGAGATGGCTAAAGGTTACGTTGATAGTGAAGGTCGTACACACTGTCCATGTAAAAGCTGTCTAAATGTAAGAAAGCATGCACCTGATGTAGTTTGTAGTCATATCATACATCATGGCTTTCAACAGTCATATAAAATTTTGACATTTCACAGGGAAAGTCGCCAGGAAAATGAAATAAACAACGAACATGATGAAAGTGATAATGAATCAGATGATGGTGTCGATGCTTTACTTGGTGATGCGTTTCATGTGGGAGCTGAAACTGAAGGAGTAGATGAGAACGATGAGGACGAGTCTAATAATCGATCTAGTAATCCAAATGTGGAAAAGTTATTCGCTAATATGGAGAAACCTTTATTTCCAGGATGTGATACTTTCTCTGTACTAGGATTTATATTACGATTGATGCACGTGAAGGTAACATGTAAAATGACAAATGTGTCCATGGATATGATACTGAAGTTATTGAGTGAGGCATTCAAGAACACAATAATCCCTAAATCCCACTATGAGGCAAAAAGTATTTGCGTACTCTTGGACTTGGATACGAATCAATACATGCTTGCAAGAATGATTGTGCATTGTTTTGGAAGGAAAATTCGGAATTACAATTATGTCCTGTTTGTGGTGCTAGTCGTTGGGTAGATGATAAAATGCATCAAAAGAAGATTCCAACCAAAGTCTTGCGTTACTTTCCCATCACAAGTAGACTTAAGCGACTATATGCCTCTAGGTATACTGCAAAGGACATGCAGTGGCACGCTCACAACAAGTCTAAAGAAGATGGAGTTCTTAGGTATCCAGCAGACGGAAAAGCATGGAAGCACTTTGATACAATCTACCCTGATTTTGCCAAAGAACCAAGAAATGTACGCCTAGGTCTTGCGAGCGATGGTTTCAACCCTTTTGGTACAATGAAACATAATCGGGGAAATACAACTTATTTATATATTATTAACCACGTATAGTTCAAATTTTGTAGCAATATGCTGAACAAATGAAACATAATCGGGGAAAACTTGTTATTCCAAGTAGAGGAGGCTCAAGATCGATAACAAATCACAAATTTGCCATGGTAAACTATCAAATTAATTCATATTTAAATTAATATATTCAAGAAAATTTATGTTTTACCTTTACTTATATTAATTTTTATTATTGCAGACAAATAAAGAGACTCAAATGCCCCCCAGCCCAATCGAGTTATATCATAAGTTGCATTTTGATCCTATAAAGAAATGGATAAATGATGAGTCACGCATTCAATACGTAAGAATGATTTCTTGACTAATATTTATTTATAGTTATAATATATTGATATTGGTGTTATAAGTTTTTATAATATGTTTTTATGTTGTATTAGGAAAATATTCTCCAACTCAAGGAGGAAGAATGTGCCAAATTAGTTTCGGCGGGAACAAGCATTACTCAAGAAACGGAATATGACATAGAGAAAAAAGTCATTAAAACTATTTGTGCCAAACATAAAACATTGCAATCTGGATGGGAGGCTTCAAGTGGACCTGTTATGAGGAAAAAAGATATACATCTCTTATCAACCGCAGAAACATCTCAATCAGCCTCAAAAGATGAAGAAGATATGAAAAGTAAGATTGTTGCACTTGAGGAGGAGGTTCGAATAAATGAACAAAAAGTCAAACAAAGTGAGGAAAAATGTGAAAAAATGTTGCAGTTTATTATCTCGAAGTTCCCGGATTCTCAAAACATATTATGTCCACCCGATGAAGATGAAGCTCGTGCGTACGATGACATAACAGATCTATCAGAGCAAGCATAGCAAGCGTAACATTCTTGACCGGTTATTAAAATTTGGAACTTCTTTCACGTATGGTTTAGTTATTGACTAGTTTCTTAGATATTTTTGTTTGTTGTTTTAAATTTGGATGTGATGTCTAAATTACGTTTTATTTATCTAGTACTAGTTCATTTGGTGTATTAACAAGCGTATTGTTTATATTAGTCACTATATATGTTAGTTTAAGACTAAACTTTGGTTTGAAACAATAGCAGGTTAGGGACCGAATGACATTATATTTGAGACTAATATTCAGTCACTAGAAAATCAGGTTAGGGAGCAAATAGCATTGTATTTGAGACTGATATTCAGTCACTAAAAATCCAGGTTAGGACTAAATGAAATTCTATCTAAGACTGACATTCAGTTACTGAAAAATCTGGTTAGGGGCTGAATGAAAATGTATCTGAGACTGACATTCGGTAACTAAAAATTCAGGTTAGGGACTGAATGAAAGTGTATATGAGACTGATATGCAGTCAATAAAAATCAGGTTAGAGATAGAAGATGATAACATTTGAGACTGATATTTAGTCTTAAATAGATATTATCAGGGACTGATATGAATTGAGTAAGGATTTTAATGAAGCGTATCGGAGACTGAATAATGTAGTATGTAAGACTGAATTTTAGTCCCCAAAAGTTATTATCAGGGACTGGTCTTATATGAAATCGTGGATTTAAAGAAAACACATTTAAGAATGAATTTGGTATTATGAGGGACTGATTATCTGTCTTTGATACAATTACATATTAAGGACTGATTTTCAGTCCCAGATATTAAAAAAAACACTATCTAGGACTAGGTTTCTGGGACTAGCTTAGGACTAGCGAAATCAGTCCTGGATTCTCATTAGAGACTGATTATTAACCATCTAAGACTGAATATGTCAGTCTTTGATACCCCTTGTTCTTGTAGTGCTGGTAAGTTCTCCAAATGTGAATTCTGGATTCGAGAAGTCCAATTTTTTGGTCATGTGGTTAACCAAGAGGGAATAATGGTTGACCCAGCAAAGATAGAAGCTGTAATGAAGTGGGAACAACCAAAAAGTCCCACGGAGATTCGAAGCTTTCTGGGATTAGCTGGATATTACCGAAGATTTATTCAAGGCTTTTCTTCAATAGCTTCTCCATTGATAGCTTTGACCCATAAAGGAACCACATATGCATGGAGTGAGAAACACGATGAGGCATTCGAGAAGCTAAAGATGAAATTGTGTGAAGCACCAATTCTTTCTCTACTCGATGGAGTTGAAGATTTCGCAGTGTATAGTGATGCGTCGGGAGTCGGCTTAGGCTGTGTTCTAACTCAAAGTGAAAAGGTAATAGCATATGCATCTCGACAATTAAAGGAGCATGAAAAGAACTACCCCACTCATGATCTGGAGTTGGCAGCGGTAGTTTTTTCCCTAAAGAGATGGAGGCATTACCTCTATGGCACGAAGTGCAAACTTTTCACGGATCATAAGAGTCTCCAGTATCTCTTTAATCAGAAGGAATTGAACATGAGACAACAACGTTGGCTAGAGTTACTCAAAGATTTCGATTGTGAGATACTTTACCACCGTGGTAAAGTAAATGTTGTAGCTGATGCTCTAAGTTGAAAAGTAAAATTTGAAAGAAAAAGGCCGAGATTGTTACGAATTGAAGTTGTCTCGACGACTGTGGAAACTATCAAGAAAACTCACGAAGAAGCTTTTGAGAAAAATAACCGAAAGGAAGAAGGTTTAGGCAAACCGTTGGTATTCGGTACAAATAAACAAGGATTGAAGGAATTCCAAGATAGAATTTGGGTACCTAAGATGGGAGGAATAAGGGATCTTCTGATGGAAGAAGCTCACAAAACCATGTACTCGATTCATCCAGGTAGCACTAAAATGTATAGGGATTTGAAACCCTACTACTGGTGGCCGACGATGAAGCTCGATATTGCAAAGTATGTGGCTGAATGTGTAACATGTGCAAGGGTTAAGGCACAACATCAAAAACCGTATGGGAGTTTAAAACCTTTACCTATACCCATGGGTAATTGGGAAGATATCACCATGGATTTTGTGACTAAACTGCCCAGAACGAAGAACGGTCACGACATGATTTGGGTAGTCGTGGATAGTTTCACAAAGAGTGCACAATTCATAGCAGCCAATGAGAAATGGTCTATGGATAAGCTTGCAAATGCTTACGTGAAGGAAGTGGTAAGACTTCACGGTGTATCATTAACGATTGTATCAGATCGTGATAGTCGTTTCACGTCAAGGTTTTGGAAAAATCTATAGGAAGAAATGGGTACGAAGTTGTGTTTAAGTACAACTTACCATCCACAGACTGATGGTCAGAGCGAAAGAACGATTCAAACACTGGAAGATATGCTAAGAGCATGTACCCTAGAATTCCAAAGTAACTGGGATGAGCACTAGCCTCTGGTAGAGTGTTCCTACAACAACATTTATCATTCGAGCATTAAGATGGAACCTTATGATGCGTTGTATGGACAGAAGTGTCGTACGCCATCGTGTTGGCTTGAAGCTGGAGAAATGTAGTTTATGGTCCCTGAGATAGTCCATCAGACTGATGAAAGCTGAAAGTGATCAAGGAAAGGATGTTAGCAGATCAGAATCGTCAAAAGAGTTATGCTGACAAGAAAAGATGACCACGGACATTTGAAGTTGGAGATTCGGTTTTTCTTAAAGTCTCACCATGGAAGGGACTTATACGATTTGGAAAGAGAGGAAAGTTGAGTCCAAGGTTTATATGACCATTCAAAGTTCTTCAGAGGATTGGGAACCAAACTTTACAAGCTAGAGTTACCGGAAGAACTAGATGGTATTCATAACACTTTCCATGTGTGTTACTTGAGGAAGTTTACGGGAGAAATTCCTGATATAATTCCAATTTCAGAGTTAAGGATGGATGAAAATAAGAGGCTAATTGAAGAGGCTGAGGCGATTGTTAACCGTAAGACTACGAAGTTGCGCTGCAATATGGTTGACTTAGTGCTTGTGCGCTGGAAACATACGAATGGGCCGAACCTCACCTGGGAAACAGAGAGTGACATGATGAATCGCTACTTACATATGTTTACTGATGCATGATTCCGAGACGGAATCATGCTAAGTAGGAGAGAATTTTAACGCCCGTGTTTCTAGGTTAAGCATTAATTTAATGGTGTAATAGTTAGGGTCAACACTTATAACCTACCTTGAAATAATAAATAGGAATTATTTGAATATTATGTGATTTTATGTGCCTTATACTTAATTATAAGATATAATAAGTTAAGAATAAAAGTAAGTGTCAAAAATAGAATAATAAATAGGTCCAATATCTATGAAGAAAGTTTAAGTGGTCGGGACAAGGATTCCGGAGATATAAAGAACGCGGAAATACAAGTTATAACGAAGAAGATATGACCTGTCGAAGTTTCGCATCAAAACCGGCACGACTCTGGGAAACGTAAAATTTAGTTTATGATAAACTACTTTTTATCCTTAGGAGTCTAAATGAAAGTTGTAGAGTACATCTCCACCTACGCGTGGATTTAAAGAACGTCAAAAACAGAGTGTGTATGCAAAAATTATGGCATTCCGGAGATTTAGTTTTAAAAAGCCTAAACTAGCTAATTCACGATGTGTGTTTTATGACACTCATGACATTCTATCATAATTCGGAATCTAGAAGCTGTGACAGGATAAGATCCAATTCACGATGTGAGCTTGATGATACTCACGACATAAGTTGTCATGGCCACCATCTGAAGCTAGGGACGCAAATGGCAAGTCTACGGAGTGAATCATGAGACTCATGATGTGAGTCTTATGACACTCATGACGTAAGTGTCATTAAAACAAACTATAAATAGCAAGATTGACCCATTCACTTCCTTACACCATTTCCTTTCTCCTCTCTCATTTACTGAAGCCCTTCTTGAATCCCGAGCCCCGACGACCTCGTACACTGACCGTTTCTACCTAGATTACATAAAATGATACTACTAAGGTGAGTGCATACTTTCATCTTACACGTAGATATGAAGTATTTTATATATTACATGATATGTGTGCATATTATCTGTATACTTGCTATCCATGTTGGATGAATGCTTTTATACAAGTTTTAAATGATTTAAACTGTATATGTATTTTATATCTACAAAAATGTTGGGGTAAAACATGGGTAAATGTAATAAGACGATGTGTGATAAAATGATGAGAGACCTCGATGTTGTCGTTGTTGATCCAGTCATGTAGCGGAGTATAGATGACGACCACAGACTCTTCTAGACAGTCCAGTGGAACGCTGGCAGACTCGCAACCTGTAGGTGTTATGAACGATGTGTTCACCGGTGTACTCAATTCCCCACATGGTTGCCTTAAGGAAATTTATTGCTAAGGAACCCCCTTAGCAGTAGTGTCCATCCCGATGATAATCCTTAGGCTAGATCACTTACAATAGGTGTTTAGGGACGTAAAGTGAGGATAACGGGAATAGGTAATCGGGTTATTGTTGGTTGATGAAATTTATAAACCTATTTCACTACACCATTCAAGCCTGTTCTAACTTTAATCGAATTTACCATTTTGATAAAATTGACTTTACTTGCTTAATCTTGTTTTTCTCACTTGGCTCGTTTGATGTAGAAAATGGTTGGAATATATTTTTCTGAAAATCACAACATTGTTGCATGCTTGTCTAATCCACCTTAAAGCCATCAAGAGTAGAAGCCATTATTCATGGACTTAACAACTGTAGGCTTACCGACACTTTTCGATCAAATCCCATCATTTATAAGGAGTTACTGAGTGAATTTTAGGATAACGCTTCCATCAAAAAAGAAGGAGTGGATGGAGAAGGCACTGTGAAATCAATTATCAAAGTGAGAAAAATTATTGTATCCGAACAGACCATCTGATAAGTTCTTCAATTTGGGGATCAACCAGGCTCCCCAACTGAAATTCATGTTGATCAGATCAGGGAGGTTCTTGATAGAATAGGTTATGAAGGAACCTTTCCTCCAACTATAAAGAAGATACTTCCTCCTTACTGGCGCTTTCTTGTCCACTCTTTTTGTATATGTATCTCATGCAGGAAAGGAGGAGCGGATGATATCTCTCTACCATCTAGCAATTCCATTATTGCTCTGATAATGGACTTGGACTTCAATTTTTTAAAGCTTGTACTAAAATAGATGAAAAACAACTTACAATGGAAGAAGGACGTATTTTTGATGTACCCAAGGTTTCTTCAAATGATCTTTGATCAATATCCAGAATTGGAAAGAAAAGGTGATACATTGGATCTGAAATCCTTGGATCCAAACACTTTTGGCCTGATGAACCAAAACCGCAAGGTTTCAAAGGTTGTGTTTAAGGGAACGAGTCCTTTGGTGACGTTAGGGAGATTTGTTGACACAGAAGAAGCTTCTAAATCAGAAGATGGTTTAGATGATGAAGATGAGGATGTTTCCGTTTCTGATCCTGAAGTTATTCCTGCTGTCACTTCCCCAGTGGAAATTGTGGCAGAGGGACATGTGCTTGATCTTAATGTTGATGATGACGATAATGATAATAATGTTGTTGTTGTTGAAAATGTTGATGAGGATGAAGGAGAAGGGATTGATGAAGGAGATGATGATGCAGTGGGTTTCAATGATGAAGATTTTGCTTTTGACTTTGAGCTCAATAATGATGACATTAGTTCATTCTTTGATTTTTATGATGTCAATGACTTTAGGAGTGCTCCAACTGAGACTGAGGGATACTCCAACATTCTCTAGCTGCTGTATCAATCACCCGCTTAGATGGTTGAAGTCATTGCTCAACTGGACTCAACTTCATGGATTCCTCCCTGAGTAGTTGTTTATCCAATTATAACTCCATCTAATCGTGATCTGGGTGCGACTCAAGCCTCCCAGCCACCTTTAAAATGAAGACATACTGATTGGAACTCTTTATATCAGAGTTTTTGAGCTTGAGAGAGAAAACGCTCAAAAGAAAAGGTTGGTTTCTGATCTGCAACTTAATCTTGGTGTTCTCTCAGTTGGATACTTTGATTTAAAAAAAAATCGGTGAATTTGGTGACAAGTTCAAAACATCTGTAACCGAGCCTTCTTAAGACAATTCTCCAAGTGTACCTGCTCCAGCTTCTCAAGATGTTTCTCACCAAACCAATGGAACTTGTATTGTTGATCGTTTTGATAAAGAACCTACTTCAGCTGATCGTAGAATAATTTGAAACAAGCTCAGAGGCAAGTAAAATCTAAAGGAAAATGAAAATTGCTCTTCATGAAAAACTCCGCTCATAACATCTATGGAGATCTTCCGCAATTGAGTGTCACTGGGCTTGGCAGAAAGACGTTCAAAACCAAGTACGGAGATTGTTCAGGAATAAAGGTGTGGGGATTTCATGTCGAGAAGAAAATCTGGCCAGTGGAGTATTATAAACATCAAAATGATTTTTTCTCTTGGACTAAAGTAGATCTTACAGAACTTGCTGATGCTCCTTCCCACAACTCATCGAACGATCCTCTAGGGACTGATTTTAAGCTCTTCTTGGAGAACCAAGTGAAGAGAAAGTTTGATGCAATGAATACTGTTGATTCCTTTGTCAAGAAATCCAAGGGCGTATTTGATCCTAGCGCCAACCGTACTGTGGAAAACTACAGTTACCTGATGATTATATGCAAAATAAGGAATATTGGGTATTTAATGAGGCCACAGCTACTATCGTCATCAAGATCTCGGCTGGGATTATTCTTCTTCTTGAAGCAAAGGATCTCCTTCAGTTTGGTGAGCGTGATATTTGTACTTTGGCGAGACATCAACTTGTGGTCAACGATGAAATTCTAGAGATGGCTACAAAAGAATTCACAGGAATGGTTAGTGAAATTATCAACAAGAGGATGTGGGCAGGTGCCTTGGAAAGTTCAGATGTGATGATCGTTGACAAGCCATGAATTCAAGCTAGCATCAAACTAAAGGGGAGATTGTTAGGACCTAGTTATTTTTGTTTGAGTTAGGAATTTATCTGTTAAGCTTTGTTTGTTCTTTTGGGGCATCAGTTGGGTTTTCGGTTAGTTGGACCGAAAGTGTTTCGTTTTTGGTCCCTTGGTGTTTTCGGCTGTAAACATGTATTTTCTTTGTGTACCCTATATATAGAGTCCTAGATTTCTGGATCTAGGTTAGAGCATTTTTGATCAGGTTGCTAATTCAAGATCCTTCGTACTAGACGATTCATTGAATACAAAATCGTGTGCATTTGGATTGATTACGTGCTTTCTTCATGATCTAATTTGCTTGATTCATCATTTGTTTTATTGTTGATCACTAGTTGGTTCTTCGTTTGGGACATATAATGTCTAATCTGTTCTGCTTCCCCAGTTTACAACGGATAATGGCACATCCCACCCCACGTTTATCCAGCATGTAATAATGGTACTGAAAATGCATTATATGTTCCTTTTTCCAAAAAATAATTTATTTTTGATTTATTTTAATTTCAATTCATAATGGTAAAAACCCAAGGGTTATTAACTTTAACAGCTGTAATTAAAATGATTTCAATATCTTTTGAAATCTGGAGGTATAAAAGCCCCAATTCTTCCCAAGATAGCTATCATGCAATCTATACACTCTCGACGATCTTCATCTTCTCCATCCTCTTGTTTAAACCATTATCTGAAAGTTCTCAAAATCTTTTATGTGCAATAATGGTAAAGTCTGGAATCTCCAAGAAACAATCAAGAGCATCTGGTTCAACCCATCCAACTGGTTCAGATTCCACGATCAAAGATCAAACACCATCAATTGCTTCAAGCAGCTTCAGAGCAATCTTTGAAGATCATCCATCCTACAATGAAGTTGTAAAGTTGATGATCAAGTTTCTCCCTCATCATCAACTACTTGGCGCTTTCGATTCCATCACAAAGGTTGTTCCTCTGCCTGTACTGTTCAAGTGTGCCTTCTCAGCATTTTGACCTAGCAACAATTTGCACGAAGTACTGTTTAAAAAAAACAATTTGCAAGAAGTTCATATGAACATGATGAATGATTCTCTAGTGGTGTTAACGAAGGAAAAGTTTCTAAATGCAATCAATGTTAGGGTTTTATCGTCAATGAAGTTTTATCCCCAAAGCACAACCGATGTGTTGTCTACTCTGTATCAAATGGGTTACCAAAATAATCTTAAGGGTGTTGGTCAATTCAAGACGAGCCAACTCCTGTCTGTCTGGTAGTTTGCATGCCATTTTGTGATAAGGTGTCTCTCTGGAGGTACTGGCAATATGGGAATCCAGCTATTGGAGATCATATCGAGTATATATACAGGCAATGCGGTCAACTATGGTCAGGTCTTATGGGATGATCTTTTTAAATACATCTCCCAAGATTCCCCAAGAGAAGGAATGACCGAGCTCGCATTTGCTCAATTTTGGTCACTTCGCATTTTTGATCTTCACAAGGAGGCCAAGCTGAGTATGGGCAATGACACCAATCTGTTTGCAACCTGTAATCTCGAAAGGTACACTGGTTCTAAAGATCAAACCATTTTTGGACACATTAGATGTTTACCGATGTAAATTTTGGATCCCATTGGACTCACAAAAATTGAGATAGCTGAACATATCATAGCTACGGGTGATATTGCCCCATATCACTCTTCCCTGTCAAGACCCAGGACCCCCAGACTACCGTAGACCAAGACACTCAACCAAAACCCAAAAGAGTTAAATCTCTTATTGTCTCAAGGAAATCTACCAAGAACATTGTCAAAACGGGAGTTGTTCCATCTCAGAAACGAAGAACGAAGACCATATATTCTTTTACTACGACACCATTCTCCTTCTAATACCTTTGACCTTCCAGTCAATGTCGTTGATGACACTCATCCTGAGTCTTCGGGTCTAGGAGATGTTTTTAGAAGGAAAAAAACTCAAGTTAGCTCCCATTCATGACCATATGCGAACCACGGCCCATATTGATGTCTCTCAACAGACTCCGGTAGTCGTTCGAGTCACCGTAGACTCACCCTCTAAAACCCAAACTCGCCACTCAGATACAAAAAGTGTATCCGTTTCATCACATCATGGAGACATGCCCCCAGTTCGACCCCAAGTGGATCCAATTTTTTTGAGTAGCCTTAAGGTCTCCAGGGCATCACAATTTCACTTACTTGATCCTAAGTAGTTAAGCTCCACTTTACATTGTGTAACATAAACATCAGATACAAAAGTTTCACTGCAGGGCACTTCTTTGTCAACCCTAGCCGAAACTGAGCCGAGGCCATACTTGACATTGGGTGAAGGATACCTAGGAAGCTCAGGAAATCCTATTACATCGATATTATGATCAAGTGGTCTAGGCGTGGGGAGCACAAATGTGCAACGAACCACGAACCCAAGGGCACCTCCGCGAATCAAGGATTTAACGGCTACACATCAGACGATTGTTGCCCCCGTTATCATCCAAATACCGAATCAAGCATAAGGAAGTTTGAGGCATTCAAGTGGGTTGTGCAAGCACGCAAGGCAGAACAAGTGTAAGAGCAACAAAAAAAGGAGGAAGCAAATCAAACTGCAGCAAAGTATCAAGCTAACTTCGTCAGCAATGCTAAATCAGTTCATGATATTCTTTCCATTCAACAATGGACGTCGACCATTAAGGGAACTGTTCAAAAAGCTCATCAACTAGAGACTACTGTTGGCACCTCAAATCCCCTTCAAAATGCAGAAGATCATGATTCAAATGACGAAGAAACTGCCATTGAAATAAGCTCAGCTCCGATGTTTGGGCTTGATGAAGATAACTTTGATGATGTTCATCAACCTCTTCCCTCAGATGACTTCATAACGATGCTAGATGATGACAAATCGAGTGGATCTCAACACTCGACCTCCAAACCAAAGAAAAAAAAGAAGAAAAAGATTATGGTGTCCAAAAAAGAATTTCTTAGTCTTCAAAGCAAAATCAACCAAATCCTGGTTGTAGTATCTACCAATCAACCACAGAACACTAAATTTGCAACCCCATAGTCACTCGTTAGACGATCGAAAACAAGGGAAAGAATGGTCGCATAGTGAATATTTCTCAGGGTTGAAATGGGTATAAGATACCTTGACAATAGAAGAACCACAGATCACAAGGAGTTCATCTCTACTGCTGAAAAACTCATCCAGGAGATAACTGCACTGAAGAATGATTTCAATCAAGCTCCTGAAAAACAAGCAAATCATTCCAAGCAACTTTTTGACTAGACCCACACAGCATACAAATTAGGCCTTGCAGTTCTACAAAGCACAATCAATGGGTTGTGGCGATCACTCACTGCCAATTTGAGTGATGATGAGATGCTTCGCCTTACAAAGGAAATTTGTCAACTACTCTTCAACATGGAGATCCTGAATAATCAACATTGTGTGAATAGATGAAGAACCAATTAAATGAAACCTTCTCCAAAATTGATGGGCTCAAGCAATGGTTTGAGGAGCAATAGGAGGTTGCTTCCTTAAAAGGGAGAAGTGAAAGCCCTCCTAGAATTCATCAAGAACAAAATCCTTCACTTCATCATGAACAATATCCTTCAACTCATCAAGATTAACATCCTTCACGATCAAAGACCCATTCAGTTCATCAACATCAAACACCTACAAGAATTCAACCTTCTTCTAATGAAGTGCACAACAAACCACTAACTCCAATTCAACCTTCTCCTACCGAAGAGCACAACAAACCACCAAATCCAAGATCTTCACCGCAACAGTCCCCACAAAAATCAACTTCTCAAGGCTTTCCGCAACAACCTCCCCCACGTTTCAAGAACCTTGCCCCTTAGATGTCATCTAAACACTATGATGACTTTCCAGCGATGGCCCAAAGAAAATGTGACTAGAGCAACAAAATTTTTTGAGCATATTTGGAGAGCTCATCGCTTCGATACAATGATGGATAAATCCTTAGTCAACTCTTGGGTAAACAGTACCCACGGGCTATTAGATGATGTTTACAAGCCAATTCTCACTTACACCGCACCTCCCTCAGATGACTATTAGGACATTCCCATCTCCCCAAACCCTAATTTCTTTTCGGTCTTCCAATCCTTTGATTCTAGTCTTCCAAATGAAAAGAGACTTCCAATGGAGTTTGAGTGCCTAAACCTCTTCCATGCCAAGCAAGGTTCTAATTTCGAGAAAATATGGTCAAATGATAGATCAGATGGGGTCAAAAACTACAACGTGAGAAAGTTTATGAAGGCTAATTTCTACCAGTATGCCTTGACGCGAAGAGGGGATGAAAACATCCGAACTCAAACAGATTTTGTGAACATGAACCTGAAGGAAATTTTCTTCATAGCTCGAGTGTTTCAAGTCAAAGCTAAAAAGCATCCTAATATGAAAATTGCTTGTGAAAGATCTTGTGAATTTCTCAAGGCTTTGGTATGCGATTTCAGAAATATTAATGCAGAAATCCATCCACTCCTACCCAAGAAATTTGATTTTGCTGAACTCGAGCCTGTACCAACATATAATAATGGGTTTCAAGAAATGTCTCTTGGTGCAACGAACTATCCAGACCTAGAGTTGTTTACAAAAGGGTTCAATATTCTCCCAAATACTTCATTTCGTGACCGTAATCCATCGACTCATCAAGAGGCAACTAGACACCACTTTAGCTTCGGTCCAAGGGTCAAAGCATACTAGGATGATGTTAGATTAAATATCAAGAAGAATTCAGTGGTTGTTTGAAGTTAGAAAATTCTGGTGGATTCTTATTCGGTTCCTCAAATTGCAAAAATGAAGAAGATAGCTAAGAGGTCACTTTCGGGGAAATTACTGATACAAAAAGTGACGCTCTTTAGCTAAAGGAACCACAACCAAAAATTGTTGGTGATACCACGATAGGAGTTAACTACCGAAGTTGGAAAAGTTTTTGCGTGAACTGCAACCACAATCGCAATTACTAC